CTTGTATGAATGTTCATTGTAGCGTGTAGGATCAATTTCACAGGCGCACGTAGTCACTGTATTGAATACTTTACGTGTGAGATGATTGTGATATTTTGTAATTGTCTTTTAGGCTAAAATTGATTGTTTGAACTCTTGTCAGTTTTGTTACTTTATAATGTATATAAATATTTTGTTCTCTATATTTGTTTGTTGTTCTACGAGTCAGTGTTAAGTTTGCAATACGTTGCATAATGCACGGTTGGATTTTGCGTTTACGTTGATCTCTGGGGGCCCAATATTCGGACTTCGCCTCAGGCCCCGCCGATCACAGGACCGGCCCTGGATAGAGGGTGTTGAAACCACGCGTAAACTCCAAATTGGGCAATTTGCTATTGTACACCGTGTATTGTGTCCATCTTACTTGCCTTTCCCACCCTCTCTCGCTCTATCTGCAAATTCCCTATAGCCCATATCAGAAAGAAAAAGTTTGCAGTACACAATTGAAATACTTTACAGAATTTAGACCAGCCCCTTCTCCTTTTCTTCTGCCTTCCAATCCTAGCTTCTGAAAGAAGAGAAAAAATCATACCTGCAACCCAATAACCCGTAGTCGATATGGTATAGTGAAATGGTTGTTGATTAAAGTTATACTTCAAGTTTTATCTGCAAGAGCATAATTAAACTCTATGAAATTGAAGCAAAAAGTAAGAAAGAAAGAAAGTGAAGAAAAAGGAGAAAAATGAAATCAGTGGCAAGTGATTAAACACTTTTTCTTTATGACAAAATTGTCACGCAACGATGCTAACAAATTAAGGCACTTGTCTCACAAAATATAATGGATATAACTTGTAATAAAATCTTTTCAAATCACAAACAACAGCGAACTCGAACGAAATTTTTCCCTCTACAAGAATATTATTTTGGAATAAATTTTTGGAGAGTTTTTGCAAGAGTTTTTGATGTAATACTCAATGTAAATGATAAAGGATGCATAATGGATGTCCAAATGGTCTTCACGCCCCAAACTAAGCAATCTTGACGAAGGGAAGCATCACTTGCTAACGCTAGCTTCTCGCTCGAACGACAGTGACACCTATTCAACAAAATCTCTCTTGCTCGCTATTGCTCGAGCGCTAGGCGAACTATGAAGTTGGACATTTTTCCATGCCAAGTTTTCCTCCTCTTTATCGAACTTTGAACTATAATTTCTCATTCATTCGGAATTGGTTTTGAAATTTCAAATATACCACAACGATATCTCGACGAGTATAATAAGTTAATTTAACTATATTTTATCAAATGAAGTCTGAATATTTAGTCGAAATTGACCCAAAGTCACTTTTTAAATTGTATACTTGACTAAATTTTCATTCTCTAAACTAAATTCCAACATAAGTGACAGCGAAGACTTCGAATGATAGACCGATGGAAGTGACTCATAACTAATGGTGCACTTCACTCGTCAAGCAAGAAATGAAAATCAGCCCTTGATGTGTGAGAACTGTTAAAAAAAAGCAAAGAAAAAGGAATTTTAATCCAAATCAAAGATGGGCATGAAATGCAAGTATTTTTCTCTGAATTATGTTGTCATTATTGATATTTGTGTTTAATGCCGAATTCAATTTGATGAAAATATGATGGTGTCGAGAAGTTCACCAACCTCTATTGATCCATATTTCTAGCAAACATGCCGGGGATGGCATTTGTTAGAAGATGCATAGTTGCATTCCTAGTGAGCAACATTGGAAAAGTGATCTCATCTTTAATATCAGGAGTCTCTCTTAAGACAGTTTTCACGTCTACGACTCAATATCTCTTCAAACGGTCATACCAATTGATACCACCAAGGCGAGGAGAAGAGGAAAGAACTTTAATAGTTGATTTTGTATCTTCAAATAAAAAATAAAATAAAGATGAGAAGAAAACAAAAGAACAGAAAATAGCTCACATAGATAAGCCAGATCAGGCTGTGGGCCTGAGCTAACTAGCTCAGCCCAAAGCAACAAATCTTGGAAATCACATTTAGGACCTGTTTGGGCCAAATTTTAATCTGATTTTAATTTAAGTCAAAGTCAAACAATCAATATCAACCACATCTTTCTTGGGTCCCACATCTTTTCAACCACACATTTCAAAAATTTCTATCACAATCCACTTAAAATCTTATTTTAATCTGCACCAAACACCCTCTTATTTTCAAGTCCCATGCGAAAATAAAGTCCATCTTCTTCACAAATTCACCATCCAAATACAATGAAAATGAACCAAATGATAAGAGCCCAAGTTCTATTGGTCTTTAGCATTAGTCTATGTGACGGTGGAATTACTATCGTACCATCCAATACATGAAAAAGAAATATAATTTTATTGAATAATATGATACGAGTAATCTCACCTCTACATAAACTCATGATAATAGCATTATTCAAATGAAAAGGATATTAGTTGGTTAGGTAGAACATCTCCAATGCAACGGTAAATTACTTTAAAAATTGTCAAGTAAGCAAAATTAGATTATATTTATACAAAAAAAAATAAAAAATTATTCAATGCAAGCAGGTAAAGACTTTTTCAAGCTGGCGTGGCATAGAAAAATAGACTATCTAGTGCTCGGTCTTAATTCAAAAGATCTGTCAAACCAAATGACTCAACAAAATTAATATTTCCTTTCCAATACATTTTCTATCAAGATTTAAACGTGATTTCATTTGATTCTTATTATTGTAGAACGAGAATGAAAAATATAGTCGTTATTGAGTTCCACACAAGAGATAGAAATTCAAAATTAATGATTTGATGTGATGGATAATGATCATATTTTTTATTTTTATGGATGAAAAATGAGAAACAGACGGAAGCTAAGAAAATAAATTATGGCAGTTCATAATCTAGCAAGGAAGATGGAAATTCGGAATGCCCAGGAAAAGTTTTAAGAGAGCGTGTTGAAACCACGTGTAAACCCCAAATTGGGCAATTTTTTATAGTACGCCGTGTATCGTGTCCATCTTCCTTGCCTTTCCCATTCCCCTTCACTCTATCTGGAAATTCCTTATAGCCCATATCACATTACAGAACTGAAACACATAATACCACATCAAGAAGGAAAAAAGGAGAGAACAATTTTGCAGTACACAATTGAATTATTTTCAGAATGGCTATGGTGAATGCAGTTTCTGTTGCTTTTAGACCAACCCCTTCTCCTTTTCTTCTGCCTTCCACTTCATATTCCAGTTTCCCCTCAATTTCTCCCACAAAAAATTCTGAATTATTGACATTTGCCCTGGGAAAAAGAAGGGATTTTTTTTCTCCCATTTCTGCTTTCAAGAACACGAAGATTTGTGACTCTTTGGATACAGCTGAAGACAAGGATGATGCATTGGAAGAGCCCGTTGAGACTCTCTTATATTCATTCTCTCCTTTGCCTTTGCTGTTTGTGGCTTCTCTTCCTGGAGGTAATGCTACATTCACATTTACTATGTAAATTCTTTTATCAAGTACACTTTTTCTGTTTCTGACTTCTTTATTTAGAACTATCTTCAAGTGTAATTTTATTATTGTTAACAACCTTAATGGTTAACTTCTAGTTTGTGCTCCAACATGAAATTTATAGAGTATATGGTTAAGGGGCTGTGTGACAAAGTTTTCGATAAAAATTTTAGCAGATTTTGATAGAGTTGAAATGTGCTATAATGCATGGTTAAATTTAAAGTTTGACCGGTTTATAAAATTTTAGCAAACTCTTATCAAACAAGCACTAAAACATTAACATGCTTAATGAATGGAATGCTAAAATGCTATATAAATGATGTCAAAATGTCTACCAATTTGTTAAATTGTTGGGAAAGTGTCAAGGGTAGGCATGGAATGATCTTCTGTATACAAGGGAATTGTCTTTCTCCTATTGATAGGTAAACCTTTTAGGATGAAACTCCGAGTCAAAACAATGAAATGACAAGATGTTTACTATTATACGTTGTGGATTCGACTTTCTTTTGAATCAATGGAGAATTGCTGGTTTACGGTGCTAGATTATTGTTTAGCATATCAGAATGTTACTAATTTGTTGCCTGAAATCAGCTGTGACTGTGAGGTCTCTGTTTGGCCCTTTTGTTGAGCTTGTCAAGTCATGGAACCCTCCTGACTGGCTTGCGCACTGGGGTCACCTTGGTAACATGGTAATCTTCTTTCCCTTCACAACTTAGAAAGATTCACAGTCATTCCCCATGCTAGATAAATGATGTCAAAATGTCTACGAATTTGTTAAATTGTTGGGAAAGTGTGAAGGGTAGGCATGGAATGATCTTCTGTATACAAGGGAATTGTCTTTCTCCTATTGATAGGTAAAACTTTTAGGATGAAACTCCTAGTCAAAACAATGAAATGTCAAGATGTTTACTATTATACAAACACCTAAGCTGAAAGAAAACTTACAATGGAGAATTGCTGGTTTACGGTGCTAGATTATTGTTTAGCATATCAGAATGTTACTAATTTGTTGCCTAAAATCAGCTGTGACTGTGAGGTCTCTGTTTGGCCCTTTTGTTGAGCTTGTCAAGTCATGGAACCCTCCTGACTGGCTTGTGCACTGGGGTCACCCTGGTAACATGGTAATCTTCTTTCCCTTCACGACTTGGAAAGATTCAAAGTCATTCCCCATGCTAGATAAATGATGTCAAAATGTCTACGAATTTGTTAAATTGTTGGGAAAGTGTGAAGGGTAGGCATGGAATGATCTTCTGTATATAAGGGAATTGTCTTTCACCTTTTAGGATGAAACTCCTAGTTAAAACAATGAAATGACAAGATGTTTACTATTATACGTTGTGGATTCGACTTTCTTTTGAATCAATGGAGAATTGCTGGTTTACGGTGCTAGATTATTATTTAGCATATCAGAATGTTACTAATTTGTTGCCTGAAATCAGCTGCAACTGTGAGGTCTCTGTTTGGCCCTTTTGTTGAGCTTGTCAAGTCATGGAACCTTCCTGACTGGCTTGTGCACTGGGGTCACCCTGGTAACATGGTAATCTTCTTTCCCTTCACGACTTAGAAATTCCACCCCCACCCCCCAACACACACACACAAAAGAATTTCAATAACGGTCTCTCATGAATTTCCCATCGTTTATTAGGCTGTTGTGCTCTTTGCTATGGGTGGTTATGGAACTTACTTGGGTTTTCGTATTCGCTTCTCTGATGATGTGGTAAGAACTAGTCTGAGACGATAAAACATTCTTTAATGATAGATTTAAGCTTAAGAAAGAGTACTTTCACATCGTTTGTTATTAGGCTTCTATAAACTTCTTGAACCGTTTTTCCCAGGAGGAGAGGGCCAAGGCCAAAGATTTGCATCCTAAACTCCTTGGAGGAATGTTTTTCTTCTTTGCTTTGGGAGCTACTGGTGGAGTTACATCTCTTCTAACTTCGGATAAACCCATTTTTGAAAGGTATGCAGGAATTTTCTGAAAATTGGTCAGTTCTTCAAATTATGTCTCTTTTTTCTTTAGTACAAAATCCATTTACCCTTTTCCCCAACGTTTTCTGCAGTCCTCATGCTGTATCAGGTTTCATTGGGCTTGCTCTTTTGACAATTCAGACCCTATTGCCTGCATTATTTGAGGTAACTTATATAGAATCTTAATGCTCTAATAATCGGGTTTGTGATCATACTCACTTCATGGCTCTTTGGATAATTCGTCCAATGCAAAGATAACCGGGCTTATTTTTCAACATAAGCCTTTCTATTTATCAAGAACTATGATTCTCTCGTCTGATACTGGATTTTCTTAAACAGGGGAATCCCGGATTGCGCAATGTTCATGGGATATTGGGCAGTGGCATTATGACATTGTTTCTTGTCCATGCCGCCCTTGGACTTCAGCTTGGCCTGAGTTACTAATCCCTTGGCACAAATCATGTGTATCTATATGGATGTGAGACCATATAGGTTCTAATGTGCCTATGCATGTTGGATAGGGTCGATTATTTGTGGGTTCAAATGATCCTTGGAGTCAAAATAGGAGGCGAAAAAAAAAAGAAGGAAGAAGAACTATTCTGCTTGTAGTCAACAATTAATTTTAACTATGCATTTTGTGCGATTCACAATTTTTTACTACGTAATTTCACTAATTTTTATTAAAATTTACTAAAAATTTGATTTTAATCTAAATAAAAAATGAGCAAGACATGAAATGCAAGTATGTTTCTTTGAATGATGTTGCCATGAACCGAGCTGCTTTTCCAGGAACACCCTCCTTGACAGAATACACACATTGGGGGGGAGCATTTTTTTTTTCATTCTTTATATCATGTGTTAATTGTGTTGTCATTATTGATATTTGCGTTTAATGCTGAATTCAATGCGATCCACACACGGGTCCAAGCAAGGATGACTTTCACCAACCCCCGCGTACATTTCATGAAGCACATGGTACACGTTCCCAACAAATAAAAAAGTCAAAATTTCTTTACTTTGAAAATTACTACCCGCTCCTAAAACACTAGAAAAGTAAAATAAGAGAAGCAGCCACGAAATCATCACCGTTTGATCAGTTCCCAACTTGCGTAGACCTTAGATCTTTGGTCCCACAATCCTCCACAGAAATGAGAGTCTGATACCGCACGGCTTCAGACCCCGCCCTATAAATAAACCTGTATATGGACCACATATCACTGCACATTTCTCCTTCACCTTTGTGCTCTTCTTTACAGATCTAAGAATTTTTTTTACTAAGGTACGCGCTCGTAATGGAAATTTTTCGTTTTAGATTAAGCTCCGTAATAGTATTCTTGATTTATTTTTGTTCAGATTCATTATGTTTTTGCAAATTACTCTCTGTATCTGTATCAAGTCGAATATGTGAATTTTTTCGAGGAGTTTATATGCGGCTTTGATTTGTTTAGATATATTGCTAATAATGTGCTTGAGAAGAAATGGATTCGTAAACGGAGGTTTTGGAATTCAGGAATTATAGCATTTCGCATTGTCGTTCAATATTGCAGATCTCATTGTGCATTTCATGTAAAAGTTCTTCAAATTTTCGAAACACGATCTGCATTTTGAGAAAACTATGATAAGTAATTCAAAACGGAAAATGATTATAGTCTTATAGATTGATTTTGGTGTGTTGGACATGGATCTGCTATGTGGCATTGACATAATCATAGAAATGATGTTCGGCGGATGATTTGGATAATGTTTCTCCTAATGCTAGTTTTGTTCCGTCAAATCATAATATAGGTTAAAAAGATACAACTCCCATATTNTCACCGTTTGATCAGTTCCCAACTTGCGTAGACCTTAGATCTTTGGTCCCACAATCCTCCACAGAAATGAGAGTCTGATACCGCACGGCTTCAGACCCCGCCCTATAAATAAACCTGTATATGGACCACATATCACTGCACATTTCTCCTTCACCTTTGTGCTCTTCTTTACAGATCTAAGAATTTTTTTTACTAAGGTACGCGCTCGTAATGGAAATTTTTCGTTTTAGATTCAGCTCCGTAATAGTATTCTTGATTTATTTTTGTTCAGATTCATTATGTTTTTGCAAATTACTCTCTGTATCTGTATCAAGTTGAATATGTGAATTTTTTCGAGGAGTTTTTATGCGGCTTTGATTTGTTTAGATATATTGCTAATAATGTGCTTGAGAAGAAATGGATTCGTAAACGGAGGTTTTGGAATTCAGGAATTATAGCATTTCGCATTGTCGTTCAATATTGCAGATCTCATTGTGCATTTCATGTAAAAGTTCTTCAAATTTTCGAAACACGATCTGCATTTTGAGAAAACTATGATAAGTAATTCAAAACGGAAAATGATTATAGTCTTATAGATTGATTTTGGTGTGTTGGACATGGATCTGCTATGTGGCATTGACATAATCATAGAAATGATGTTCGGCGGATGATTTGGATAATGTTTCTCCTAATGCTAGTTTTGTTCCGTCAAATCATAATATAGGTTAAAAAGATACAACTCCCATATTTCAAGTTGATGAAATTTATGAGATTGTAACTAATCCATACCTTTTCAAAAGGAATTTTTATAGCAGCAAGGGAACTTTATTTTGCCACAAATCATCTACCAAAGTACCAAATATTATTGTGTTCGAACCTAAAATCAACTGGCTCTGCTTTTCTCATTTCTGGATTCTTTGGAGCAATGCTTTTGAAAGAAATGGTCGAACCCTTACCCCTAAAATGCACTTTACCCAAATTGTTTCAGATTCTGGGTAGACACGCGAAGAGACTAATATAATATTTATGTGCTCGAGGTCAGAAAGCTGAGATAGTATACCTTCGAACTAAAATGCAGAATACTTGTGGAAATCACTAAAGATTTGTCTTAGAACCATAAGATTTAATCATTGTTGAGATGCATGTAATTAGGTAATTGAGATATTTGTGCTTTATCATTGTTCAAACTGTCGTTTTTAGCATAAATGAACTTACGTATCGCTTTGAAACTTTTTCAGATAATATAACATGGATACCTTCCTCTTCACTTCGGAGTCTGTCAATGAAGGCCACCCCGACAAACTATGTGACCAAGTTTCAGATGCCATTCTTGATGCTTGCCTAGAGCAAGATCCAGAAAGCAAAGTTGCATGTGAAACCTGCACAAAGACCAATATGGTCATGGTCTTTGGAGAAATCACAACCAAGGCCACCGTAAATTATGAGAAGATAGTTCGAGATACCTGCAGAGGGATTGGATTCATTTCACCTGATGTTGGCCTTGATGCTGACAACTGCAAGGTCCTCGTTAATATCGAGCAACAGAGCCCTGACATTGCCCAGGGAGTTCATGGTCATCTCACTAAGAAACCTGAGGAAATTGGAGCTGGGGACCAAGGACACATGTTTGGCTATGCCACTGATGAAACACCAGAACTCATGCCACTCACTCATGTCCTTGCCACCAAGCTTGGGGACAAGCTTACTGAAGTGAGAAAGAATAACACTTGCCCCTGGTTGAGACCTGATGGTAAGACTCAAGTTACTGTTGAGTACAAGAATGATGGTGGTGCCATGGTTCCTATTAGAGTTCACACTGTCCTCATCTCAACCCAGCACGATGAAACTGTTACAAATGAACAGATTGCTGATGATTTGAAAGAGCATGTGATCAAGCCTGTGATTCCTGCTAAGTACCTTGATGACAAGACAATCTTCCACCTTAACCCATCTGGTCGATTTGTTATTGGTGGCCCACATGGAGATGCAGGACTTACTGGTAGGAAAATTATCATTGACACCTATGGCGGCTGGGGTGCTCACGGTGGAGGTGCTTTCTCAGGAAAGGATCCAACCAAGGTGGACAGGAGTGGTGCGTACATTGTTAGGCAGGCAGCAAAGAGTGTGGTGGCATCAGGACTTGCTCGTCGATGTATAGTGCAAGTTTCTTATGCTATTGGTGTAGCAGAACCACTTTCAGTGTTTGTTGATACCTACAAGACAGGGAAGATTCCGGACAAGGATATATTGACCCTTATCAAGGAGAACTTCGACTTTAGGCCTGGAATGATTGCAATCAACCTTGACTTGAAAAGAGGAGGCAACTTCAGGTACCAGAAGACTGCCGCTTATGGTCATTTTGGCCGTAATGATCCAGATTTCACTTGGGAGACTGCCAAGATCCTCAAGCCGAAAGCTTGAGTTTGTGGGTTGCCAGTTACACAAGATACTTCTGAAAATTGATTTGGCCAAGTTGCAGACAGGTATTAGATGAATAAAAAAGCTCTAGGGATATATGAAACATTATTTTGCCTTTCCAGGACTCCCTTAGAGATGCGGGAGCTTAAGAGCATTTGTTCGAGTTTTTGTTATTTTTTCTTCTTTTCTTGATCGCGTCTTTGATAGCGAGTTATTGTTAAATACATTCTGCAGCAATTCAATTGTTTTCGCGTACCCTGAATTTTGCTTATTTGTTACGTTTTGCTATGTTTGAATTTGTTAAAACCATTTTCATTGATTTTTGGATTGATGACAAGCTGATTTATCATGGTGACCGAGCATTGATTTGAAGTTTATGTATCAACGTTGAAGAAGAACAAATATTTAGTACCTTGAGAAATCAGAGATGGAGAAAATTACAAGTAACAAAGCTATAGTCACAACAGAAAAGGCTAACAATTCGAACTATATATTTCAAAAGTGCAGCCACAGGCGATCATGTAGTCGCTCTTCTCCAGCACCAAACATCTCATCAACCCTTTCGCCATCTCTGTAGAAATGAAAAGTGGGCGTGTAACGAATGTGTCGAGTCGTTTCTGGGCATTCATCAATATCAGCATACACAAAAGAAAGTTTCGGAAACTTCTTGTTCAGTTGGCAAAATGCAGGTAAGATTTGACTGCAAACACGACACCTGAATATCACAAATTTCACGTATCAGCCATAATTTCATGAGGAAAGAAGCAGATTCTACAGGCATGGAACTTCAATCAGACATTTCATCAAACACTTAGTGTTCAGATACATAACTTACCAAGAAGCACCATAGTTGATAACTGCCTGTAGACAGTAAAGACACATAATTTGTACGAGTTTTTTGAATATTCTAAACGCTCAAACACAGCTTGGAGAATAATTGCTTACTGGGGTTTTGGAAGTTCTGAATTGGTGAAAAATTTCCTTGAGGTTATCATCACCGGCGGCGGTAACGAGGGTTCCCGGACGACTTTTGCTTTCTTCAACGGCTTTCTTTCTCTTTTCTTCATTGATATTTTCATCGTTCTCCATTATCAATCTTTCACTCCAACTATAATTAGGTTTCAATTGATAGTAATTTACTCAATTTAACCACTCCGACCAGCGACCACCGCCGTCAAAGCTAGCATCTGCATATGAGGTACTACACAGCTTACTAATTGTATGGATGTACACCGACTTTTATCCCAACTACAATTATGTCACTGAACTTTAATTTACTGCAATTGGACCACTTAACTTTTAACTAACAGAAATCAAAACACTTTTCATCGTAGTCCATCAAAATTTGACACGTCCACTCCTTGTCAAACTAACAGAATTATTTTTATGTTTTTTTTCAAATGCTTTAAAATCCAAAAATTCATTCGACCGTTGGGATGAAAGGGGGGAAAAAAAATTTAACATTTCTTTCACGTCTAAAATCGTACAAGTGGGATAGATTTTCGATCAATTATAAAGTTGATGGATTATAGTGATATGTATCTCGTGATTATCAATAACCTACCTATTTATTTATATTCGATCACAATCATTTGTATTTCGTGATTTTACATCCTACCTTGTTAGAGCCCGTCTCAACTTTTATTTGCTAAAAACTTAATAAAATTTCATTTTTAATCACAAATTTATAAGAACCCACAATTTTTATCTATTATATCACACACATTTCAAGGTATCCACCAACTTTTATGAACTCTTGACATCATCACACAACCCAATAATAAGCACCTTAACGAGCATCTTCACACTTAAGAGCCAAAATTCTATGTAAAACATTTTTCCTTTTTCAGAAAATTTCAATAGTCAAGTGAAGTACATGTTAAGAAAAACAATGGATAACAGGATTAGCAAGAATACAAAGTTGACGTATGGTTAATTAATGGCTACTTAATTTCCTGCCACACAACTTTCCTAATACAGAGTAAAGCTATTACGTACTTAAACATAATCATCCCTGGTAATGTATCAATGGCAATTTCAAAATTCTCCTCACAAAATTTAACCCCCAAACATGGTGAAGATTACTTTCAGGCCACAATCTGGAAGTTCTGCAAATCACAGATACATTTCATGGTCAGTTAATTTCGGAGAATGACCCCGGCTGAAATTTCTTGCGTAATGCTTCCACAGCAGCGTTTATTCTCTCTCGATCCTGAAACAATTCAAGGCATTCTGTAAATTTGACTTGTAAATTTCATGATTTAAAAAAGACAAAGCACCTTCGAGCGAACCTCCTTACCTTTCCATCAAAAGTGACGACAAGAGGTCCTTTTCTTGATTCACGGTAACCTCCTTCGTATCCCAAGAAAGCGTAAAATTAATTAGTAACAATAAATACCAACACCACTGCTGGCATAGTAAACTATTGTCTGAAGATTCTTACCAATGTAAAGATCAGGAAATTCAATACAGATTCCTGAAAGAGGATGAGCTGCTTCCACCTGCATCACAGATGAGGAGATTAAACCGTTTTAAATATCTATACAGGCCACAGCATAAAATATAAAAATATCGTGTCTAGGCAGGCTAAATAACATATTATTTTGAAAGGAATTTACGTCCTGAGCCCCATACCCTCTTTCTTGTTGGATCAATGAACCCCGTCACTCTGCTTTCAAAAGATTCACCACCAAATCAATTAAACATGGTATCATAAGTCAAAAGACTATGGTCCACATATGTAATCTGTAGCATGTTCTGGAATGATGCATGTATGTCTAGATTATGTGTGCATTTGATGTTTTCCTTAAATTTTAGTACAAACTGAGGAAGCAAAAACTCCCATCTATAGCTTTATGCAGTGAGTGCTCACAAATTTCCACATAAACGACAAATCTTGGTAGCTGCATAATGTAAGAAGAGATCACACACATGCACAGAGAGAGAGCTTTATAGACACTCACGTCAGAAAGAGTTGTTGCCAGACGCTTTGATACAAAAGGTTCTGCGACTACTAAAAGACTGTCAGATCTCATAAATTCAATCAAACAATCCCATTCCCGGTCCATCTCAGCAACATTCGTTGCAGTAAGAATGATCACATTTTGGCACTTGATCTACAAAAGGCAGTTATAAACAAATATTCACAATTCCATTTCAAGAGAAATATTACATGTCAGGTAAAAGCAATGGCAAGATACTTGCATTTGGCAACTGCAAGGAAAAAAAATTATTCATAGCAGTACATAGAAGTTAACCTTGATTATGCAAAAACCAAAAATATATAACAATGAACACCAAGAAAAATGCATAACAAACTGAGGTCGGAGGCTCAAAAAAAAAAAAAA